GGAAAGTCTCAGCTATTTCATGCAGCAACATTTTTATTGATATGTCCCCTAAAGCAAGGGAGATAAAGAAAAGAATAAACAAATGGGATCTCATCAAAATAAAAAGCTCCTGTGCTAGGATGGGAGTAAAAGACAGAAAACTGTACTTAAACAATAATTTTAGAATTTTTTAAAAGAAAAATAAATAAATAAAAAGCTTCTGCACAGCTAAAGAAAACAGTGTTAAAATAAAAAGAAAACCAACTGTATGGGAAACATATTTGCCAATGATACCTCAGACAAGGGTTTAATCTCCAAAATATAAAAAGAACTTACCTGACTCCATTCTAATTAGACAAGGAACCCAATTGAAAAGTGGGCAAAGGAGTTGAATAGACACTTCTTTGAGAAGGGTATACAGACTTCTGCCAAGATGGAGGCATAGATGGAGACGCCCTGCTTCCTCACACAACCAAGTTTAGAGACGACTAAATATTAGCAAGAGAAAACACAGCCAGAACACAGAAAATTGAACTTTTCGGAAGTCTGATAACAACAAATTCTTCAGCCTGACCGGTAAGAGGGGCGAAACCAGCAGCTGGCGGAGCGGGGTTGCACAGGAAAACTCGGTCAGATGGACTCAGGTGCGCGGAATCCAGGCGCATGGTTGGACCTGGTGGGCAACTCAGCGAGAGACCGCGGGGAAACAGCAAGGGAGCAGGGCTGCGGGTTGACTGTGGTCACACATTCGTGCATGGATAGACAAGTGAGGGAGTGGGCAATTGGACGGGAGCCAGCAGGCCACAGTGGCAAGCTGCAGGGGAGGGCGCCGCCATTTTCCCACTCTGACCACGCCCCCACATGCAGCGTCACAACCCAGCCACCTGGGAGTCCAAGGCTCAGCACCTCATACTTAACAGGCGCGAACAGAACATAAATGGCTCAAGAAGTTCTCAAAGCCCCAGAGCCTATAAATCTAAGTGATGAAGAAATAGCAAAACTCTCAGACGCACAGTTTAAAACACTGGTGATCAGGATCCTCACAGAACTGGTTGATTATAGCCACAAATTAGGGAAACATATGAAGGTGAAACTAATTGAAATGAATGGAATTGCACAGGAAACCAGTAGCGATGAAAAGGAAAATGGGACTCAAATCAATGGAGTGGACCAGAAGAAAGTAAATAATGGCCAAATAGAAAAGAGTGAAGAAGCAAGAATTCAAAAAAATGAGGAGAGTCTTAGGAACCTCCAGGACATCTTTAAATGCTCCAACATCTGAATTATAGGGGTACCAGAAGGGGGAAAGGAACAGCCACCAGTGGAAAACTTATTTGAACAAATAATAAAGGAGAATTTCCCCAATCTGGCAAAGGAAATAGACTTCCAGGAAATCCAGGAAGCTCAGAGAGTCCCAAAGAAGTTGGACCCAAGAAGAAACACACCAAGGCACATCATCATTACATTAGCCAAGATTAAAATGAAGGAGAGAATTCTAGAAGCAGCAAGAGCTAAGGGGACAGTCACCTACAAAGGAGTTCCCATCAGACTGTCAGCGGATTTCTCAAAAGAGACCATACAGGCAAGAAGGGGCTGGAAAGAGGTATTCCAAGTCATGAAATCCAAAGACCTACAACCAAGATTGCTCTATCCAGCAAAGCTTTCATTTAGAATGGAAGGACGGATAAAGTGCTTCTCAGATAAGATCAAATTCAAGGAGTTCATCATCACCAAGCCCTTATTATATGAAATGCTAAAGGGACTTATGTAAGAAAAAGAAGTTAAAAAAAACATGAACAGTGAAAGGACAGCAAACTCACAGTTATTAACAACCACACCTAAAACAAAAGCAAACTAAGAGGACAGCTAGATCAGGAGTGGAAACATAGAAATGAAGATCTCAAGGAGTGTTAGTAACAGGGGAGTGGGAGGAGAAGGGGGGGCGAAAGTACAGAAAATAAATAGCATAGACAGTAGATAGAAAATAGATGGGGGGGCAAGAATAGTATGGGGAAATATAGAATCTAAAGAACTTGAGACACATGGTCATAAACTAAAGGGGGGGTAATGGTGGGGATGTGGGGGTAGGGTGGAGGGGAATGAAGAGGAGAATAGAACAACTAATGGCATAATCAATAAAAATTAATTAGTTAGTTAGTTAATTAATTAAGAAAAAAAGAATATAAAGAAGAAAAAAAGAAGGATATACAAAGGATCCAGAGACACATGAAAAGTTGCTCAATGTCACTAGCTATCAGAGAGATGCAAATTAAAACCACAATGAAATACTACTTCTCACCCATCTGAATGGCCATCATAAACAAAACAACAAACAACAAGTGTTGGTGAAGTTATGGAGAAAAGGGGACCCTAGTTCATTGTTGGTGGGATTGCAGACTGGTACAACCACTATGGAAAACAGTATGGAATTTTCTAAGAAAGTTAAAAATAGATCTGCCTTTTGACCTGTCAATTCCACTGCTAGGATTATATCCTGGGAACCCTGAAACTGAAAGAACCTATGCAACCCAATGTTCATAGCATCATAGTTTACAATAGCCAAGTGTTGGAAGCAACCTAGATGCCCATCAGTAAATGAGTGGATCAAAAGATCAAAAAATTGTGGTACATTTACACAATGGAATTTTATGCAGCAGAAAGAAAGAAGAAAGAAAGAAAGAAAGAAAGAAAGAAAGAAAGAAAGAAAGAAAGAAAGAAAGAAAGAAAGAAAGAAAGGAGGGAGGGAGGGAGGGAGGGAGGGAGGGAGGGAGGGAGGGAGGGAGGGAGGGAGGGAGGGAAAGGAAGGAAGGAAGGAAGGAAGGAAGGAAGGAAGGAAGGAAGGAAGGAAGGAAGGAAGGAAGGAAGGAAGAAAGAGCTTCTACCTTGTGCAGCAGCATGAATGGAACTGGAAAGCATTATGCTGAGTGAAATAAGCCAAGTGGTGTAAAACAAATACCATATGATCTCACCTAAACAACAAAACAAACAAGCAAGCACAATATAACCAAAGGCACTGAAATAGAGAACAGGCTGACAGTGTCCAGAGAGAAGAGGGGAGGGAATTTCAGGGGAAAAGAGAAAGGGTTTACAGAAAAAAGTGCAAAGGACTCATGGACAAAAACTAAGGGGGGTAGAAATGGGAAGCAGGTGATGAGCACTGGGGGTTGGACTGGGATGGGAGTAAAAGACAGAAAACTGTACTTGAACAACAATTAAAATAATTTTTTTTTCAAAAAAACCCCAACATGCTCAACCTCATTAAATCAGGGAAATGCAAATCAAAACCACAATGAGATATCAGTTCATCCTATAAGAATGACTATTATTTTAAAAAGATAAGAAAACAAACAAATATTTGGTAGTATATGTTGAAAACAGAATACTTGTGCATTGTTGGTTAGAATGTAAATTGGACAGCCAGTATGGAAAATCATATGGAAGTTCCTGAAAATTTTTAAAAGGGAACAACCACATGATCCAGAAATTCCATTTCTGGGTATTTAACCTAAGAAAATGAAAACACTAATTTGAAAACATACATGCACCTCTACATTCATTTCAACATTATTTGTAGTAGTCAAGTTATGAAAATAACCTGTTTCTATTGATGAATGAATGGTTAAAGAAAATTAAATACACATGCGAATACTCAACCAAACACAATGAAATATTATTCCGCCATTAAAAGAAGGAAATTTTCCATTTTTGACAATATGGATGGACCCTGAAGACATTATGATAAGTGAAATAAGTCCATCAGAGACAAATACTGTTCTATCTCATTTACATGTTATATTTTTAAAAGAGAACTCATAGCACTGGTCAGGTGGCTGAATTGGTTAGAGCACTATCCCATATAGTGAAAGATTGCAGGTTTGATCCCTCGTCAGGGAACATACCTACATTGCGTGTTTGATCCCCTGTCAGGGTGCATATGGGTAGCAACTGATTGATGTTTCTGTCATATCAATGTATCTCTCTCACCATCTCTAAAAATCAATAAGCGTATCTTCAGATGAGGATAATAAGCAAACAAACAAAGGTCATAGATATAAAGAACAGATTGGTTGTTGTCAGAAGTAGATAGCAATGTGGGCAAAATGGGTGAAGAGTTCAAAAAGGTACAATCTTATAGTTATAAAATAAGTAAGTTCTGGGATGTAATTAATGCATACCATAGTGACCATAGGTAATATACTGTATTGCATATTTAAAATTTGCCAGGAAAGTAAAACTTAAAATTATCATCACAAGAAAAAAAATTGGTAACTATATATTGTTACAGATGTTAACTAGATTTATTGTGATGATCATTTTGCAATATATAGAAATATCAAATCATTATGTAGTACACATGAAACTAACAAAATGTTGTATGTCAATTATAATCTCAGTTAAAAAAGAAGATTCCAGTATCTGCTCATTCTCTTTTAATTGCTTTTATATAATCAGACCAGGTTCATGTCCTCTATGAATGGTATAATTGTCCAGGAAGTGGTGCTTGAAGATGTCATAAATCTCAGAAAGACTACTAACGGGGAAGGAATCAGAATCTCAACTCTGTCACTTCCTAGCTATTTGACCTTGAGCAAGATCCTTTACCCCTATGAGTTTTGGTATCTTTGTTTCTAAAGTGAACTTAATAATGTCTTCCCTCCCACACACAGTTGTTGTACGAATTGAAGTGTAATAGCATATAATCAGAATTATTACTCTCATGCTTCAAGTAAATTCCCCATTTTGTAGGCCACTAAGTTTGTGCACTAAGACTGGTGTCTTCTCAGTGCCCATGATGAATATTTTTAAAAGGAACTGAGTTCAGAGGCTATATTCTGGGATGATGCAGGCTCAAGGTGGAGAGAGGGCATCCAGGTTGAGTCAGGGGTATGCGTATGGCACAAAATGTCAGAAAGGGAGATTTGAATACTGTACTCAAATCTTAGAATTGGAATTCAAAATTGATCAATGTTATCTTTTTCTCTCTCCCCTCCTTTTTTTCTTTTCTTCTCTTGTCGTTTCAGGTGCATGACAACTGTAGAAGACGGTTTTCCAAGGAATGCTGGTTTGGAAGTCATCGCACATCAGTCATTCCTCCTACTGCCCTAAGTGACCCTAAAGGAGATGGTGAGTAGCTAAACTTTAATCTCAGAAATACACTCGGGAGGAAGGAAAGATGAAAAGACTGGGGAAATGACCGCAATTTAATTATTTCCCCCAACCTGTCAAATATTTCTGGGGAGTAGGAATGTGTATATTTGTAGAGATAGCTCATTTCTCATTACGCCTTTGGTGAAAGTGATATTTGTGGTGTATATGTACATGGGCATGTTCTCTGTAGTCTCTGTCACGATTGTTTCTTAACAATCAGGATTGTTTTCAGACTTATTATAATTTCCAGACACTAGATAATTCATGAAATAAGCCAGTTTGCATTCAGGTGATCAAGGAAGAACTGCATAAAGGCCCAGGTTGTGTTATTTTTAAAATGGAAACTAACACCAAGGTTGCTCCCAAATATGAAACTAACATGATCATTTCTCCAACACACTTTACTGATGCTTTGTCAATTCCTTGACACTAGTGATATACTGAGAACTTTATTTATAAGGTGTTTGGAGGATACAAAAAGGTCCATGATATGGGAATTACCAGAGCTTATGCTTATTTTGGACCCAGGATATTGATATAATATGACAATTGACAAATTAAGGTAACATATCCTTAAGTGCCAAAGGAATGGTAGAAACACTTGGAGATCATAAAATATGAGGAGTGTCAACCAATTGTACAAGGTTGCAGAGAAAGGACAGTAATGAAATCAATACAGAAAGAGTAAACATTTTATAGAGTCTTCTATCAGGAGGTTTAGAGCTGTTAGAACAAAGAAAGCAGAGGGAAAGGAGAGTGATGTTTTGTTTAGTTTTGTGTTTTTTTTTTAAAGAATAACTGAGACATGTAAAGGGCAAAACAAGGGCCAGATAACCATGAGTTTTAGTCACTTACTAGCTAGGTAACCTTGACTAAGTCACATTCTCTGAGCTTTGCTTTCTTTATCTGCAAATGTGAATGATACTGTATGTTGTAAAGATAAGTGATAATATATAAAAGACCTAAATATACAGAGATGTGGCCAAAAAAAGGACCACAAAATTAAATCCCAAGTTTCTAGCTCAATGAAAACTGTACACTTACACAGAGATAATTCAGTCTTTAGCATTTGCTAATGATGCCTTTTTTAGTTCATTTCTCCTTCCCCACATTTTCTTTGCTTCTTCTTAGAGTCTTTCCTTTCCACCATTGACTTGTTCATTTGCTTTTCCCATTACTCATTATTAAAGAATGGCAGCTGTCAAGATCAAAATCACATATCACAGTTTTTAAAAATCTGACCTATTTTACTAATGCTACAAAGTTTCAAAGTGTATTTACCAACTGACATGCTATCATTTCACTAAGCCAGTAAAAGAGATACATTGCCCATTAATTTGAGTTTTGTGTATGGTTAGTTTTACTCTGTATACGGTCAATTTCACTTACTGGAAGAAAGTTTAAACCCTTCTCAGAATGTTTAATCTATATTTTGCTAATATACTAATTTATTTATCTCTGACATGTGGGAAGTGATTAATAAACCAATATTTCATTGACTTAAAAAGTATCCCCATATTGATTCTTGCTGCCCACTTAATTGCCAACAAAGAGCCAGCATTAGCTGGGAGCAACGAAAGGAAAAGAAGGAAGAGTTTTTAGTTTCATTAGCCAGAGAATAGAAGGAGGCAAGGATTCCTGTATTCATCACAACACATTCTTAGAACAAGGCACAACACGTGTATACATGTGTGCATGTACGTGTAACATGTATTCAGAGCCCCTCTGGTCTCTTTCATTTTATTTTTCCAACCCTAACACAGATACAGACATACATTAATATATGAAATTAGCCATTCACACAAGTTTCTGCAGGCAAGCATATTCATATGTCCCATAAAGACCTGCACAAATACAAAGCTAACCTCACTCAGGGATGCATGCATGTATTATTCTCATATCTACTCAAATATGTAACCACATAGAGTTGACTACCAGATAGTTGATTATAGAAGTGCTGAGACTGATTACCTGCCAAATAAGAGTTGCTTGACTGGTTAGGAGAAGGAAAGGTTTAGGAGGAAGTTGACAGAAGAGGAAAAGTAGCAAACTAGTTAGCTGAACAAACTGAGGCTGCTAATAAAAGTCAATTTAGTCTTGAATCTGAGACTTTGCTCACCCTCACAAGGACCTGGGTAAAATGTCTTTCAGAAGACCGAAGGATACCTACTTCAGCATGTCACAAATTACCCCACATAGCTGTTAAGGGTCTGGCGTCTCTCCTTTTTAATTGGCTCAACAGGTTCTATGTTTATTGTCCTTATAGAATTTGGGGTTTTCTTTTCAGGTTTTTTTCTATGCTATATCACTTCTTATTCTTGCTATAGATCATCAACTAATGGCACTGCTACTTTCTTTTGCTTTCTACCAATGACATAATATGGCTTAGAATCACCTGGGCTAAGCCATCCTTTTTGTGTATTGTCTCATCTAATGCCACATGAGTTATCTTTTAGCCTTTCCTCCTATCATCTATAATCTTGATCCAACTGAATATCATTCTTGGAAGCCCTTCTTTCTATCGTGTGCTACTTGTCCTGTTATTTCTAAGGACTATCTTCTAAGACCTCCTTATTTTCTTGAATCTTCCTGGCTTTTTGGCCTAGGAAAATATGCTCTTTAACAGGTTTCCTGTTGAGAAGTTCTACTTCATGATAGGTATAATAGTCCTTAAGCTTTATCTGGTCCAATCCCTCTGGACCAGGAATTGGCTAGGGAATCCCTTCTCCAGCATCCAGGATGGAGGTATCCAGCTGATGACTTCCTGAGGAAGTAGTTGCCATTGCTGCGTAGCACTCATCCATTCACTCATTCATTTACTCAGTGAACAGACTCTAATTTCTGAGCATGCTTTCTAATTATCCCTTTTTCCTATCTAGTCTGCTTGGTAAATTTCTTCTCACATCTTATAGAGTGAGAACAAAATCCAAAATTATCTCCTGTTTGAATGTTACTGTAATTGTCTCTCTCTACTTTCCCAGACAAATGTATTACTTTCTTTGCTGTAAATCCAAAATATACACCTCAAAGTACCTAACACACTATATTACATATCTCATGACATGTCTGATTCCCACACCAGACTGTGAACTCTCTATCTCTAGCACTTAACTCAGACCAGTGTACATGGTATATGTACAGTCAAGATTTGTTACATGAATTCATTAATATAGTGCTAAAATATTTCTTATATGTAAGTCTCAGTGATAAGCAAGCTAGAGAATACAAGATGACTAAGCATCCCTGATTCATATGGTGGCAAAATAGTAAACAATTCAGTGATTGTCAAAGTTAAGAATGCATTAGAATCACCTGGAAGGCTTATTAAAACATGTATTTCTAGGCCCAATCCCCAAAGCTTTTGATTCAGTAGATTTTGGTAGAGCACAAGAACTTGCATTTCAAATAAGTCCCCAGATGATACTGATCCTACTAATGCTGAGAGCACACTCCATCATTTACTGTGTGAGCTTGGACAAATTACCTAATCTCTCTGTGCTCCATCTGTCATTTGGTTTCTGCCAATAGGAAATAATAGTTGTATTAGGTGTTGTATGAGGGTTGAGTTAACATTTGTAAAAGAGGATTTTAAAATACAGGAAGGGGAACAGTAAGCCAACCTTATGTTAATTAAACATCTTTCTGTGGTATGAACTGAACAAATTTTAAGACTATTGTCTTCCTCATTTGGAGTTCTGTGGTTATATTAATTCAGCTCCAAGAAACATAGTTTTTTTTTTTCTTTTTGGAAAGGCTCTTTCAGGCTGTTGACCCATCTGGAACTTAAATTTAACTAAATCCCCTAAACTCTTTTCACACTTGATGGTGCCAAGCCAGGTTCCTATTGTCCTATACTGCTGCAATTTATGTCTTTGAGCCTAAAGGTCAAGCTTAAAATTTACCCTTTTTTACTTGTTGACTTTGACCCTTCTGCCTGTTGAGGTCATTTTCCAATCTTCATTCTGTCATCCAGTACCTCTCCCTCCAGTTCTGGATATTTCAAAATTCATAAGCCAGTCTTCCATGTTTTCATTTGAATTGATTAAAATTATTGAATAATACAGGACACTCCCTTAAAATTAACACCAGCCTATACAACAGCAACCTTGTAGACATGATTATTTACCTGGTTATGAATCTGCCTAACATCACTACATTCTAACTTACAGTGCTGCCCAATTTTTGTCACCTGGCTCACAGGATTCTGTGGACAAACTTGGTCTTTCTAAAATTCAAGTGTTCTCGAACTCTGGGGGAAATGCTAAATGGGGCTACCCTTGTACTCTTCTGGGAATGATTTTCTGCCAGTGCTTCTCCACCCACCTCTCAATTTTTCCATCTGTGACCAAATTAGTTTGACACAAAAGTTCAAGTTCCCATAGTTATAAAATTTTCTTTTCATCTAGCAGCTTTCCATCCCTACCCTGGTAAAGCTTAATTATTCTATTAATTTACTTAATTAATGAAATTAACTAAATAAATTTGTTTAATTTATTACTTAAATAATTAAATCAACTAAATAAATTAATTTAATTATTTTATTATTTATTGCAACATGTTGCTATAGTTCATATGGAGAAATCAACATGTAAACAAGTTAAGATGTTTGCTCTAGGTTAGTGAGTAGACCTGGGAGGTAACCAGCTGTGGCAGGCCATGCTCCAAGCTATAAAATGATGTATAATTTCAGCTATACCTTCATGGCTACTTACCTTATAAATAACATTAGAGTAATTATGTTTTCTTAATTTTTAATTTCATTTTTGAATAGATAATATATTCACATGTATCATATCTTGAAAAAATAGAAATACACACATACATATAATATTTAGTAAAAAAAATCTTCCTGCTATTTTTCTTTTATCTTCTTAGTCTCCTAGAGTCGTACCCCATCACCACTCACAGTTCACTAGTGCCATTTATTTATTGAATACTTTTCAGTATTTCTTCATGTACATGGCAGTAAATATAAA